TATATATCATGCTTTAATGCTTTACTTTGGGTATGTTTTGGGTTTTAAAAAAAGCTAGACATACATTAACCTTCTCAGTAGACACTTAGAATGCTTAAACTATAAGCAAATAAAAATATTAAAAAAGCAAATAGCATTTTTTTAGAAAATGTTTTAGTGTAGATGAGAAAAGTTATGAAATGTGCTGCCTGAAACTTGAATAAAACAACATTTAGGAATATGAATAGTGTAACTGGCTAATATTGAAATGTTTTGTATTTGTATAGCACAATGTAAAGAATAATTCAGAAGATCCTTACCTGCCTTACTGACAGTTGTTTGTCTCTTATAGGTCTCATCCGATTACAAGAGCTTATAAAAGCTCCATCGCGTTACAATTTAAGACTAAAAATCCGGCAATTACCACTTGACACAAAAGATGCCAAACCACTGCTAAAAGAGATGAAAAGAGGCAAAGAATTCCATGTTATCTTTGACTGTAGTCATGACATGGCAGCTGGCATACTTAAACAGGTAAAACAAATAAATAGCATGCTTATTTTTGTTAGCTAATAATTTGAATAATACATTTAAACTATATAATTAGTAAGGTTAAATTATAAAAGCTACAAAATAGTATACATTTACAGAGGAACTCCAGGAATTAACAAAATTAACCCTTGCAATGGGGCCACCTCTGCACTTCAAGGGTTAACAGATCATTTTGGTCAGGGGCTGGATTAAAGAAGGTATACTTAACTGAACCTTGATCCCACTTGGCTGCTAGATCAGTCCCTGCAGTCTCTTCTCCCCTGTGTACTGGTAGTCTAAGCCACACTGATGTCATTATGTCTAATTATGTCTAATGCAGGTCCATTTACCTGCATTAGACATGAGGATGGCGAGGGACAGGTGAGTATATCTTCTGTATTATGGCCCCAAAACAAGCAGTTAACCCTTGCAGTGTGGGGTAGCTCCACTGTAAGGGTTCATTTTGTTAATACCCTGTTTCCCCAAAAATAAGACCTAGCCCAAAAATAAGACCTAGTACTATTTTTGGGAATTGCTAAAATATAAGACCTACCTCGAAAGTAAGACCTAGTTGTGACCATTCCCAGGGCTGATGGTGGCATAAGGGGGAACTTGAAGAGCTGCGGGAGAGGCAGGAGAGAATCAGCAGTGCCAACGAAGCCATTGCTAGAGGAAGCAAGGCGGCACCGTATGGAGCAGAGCCGTGTAAGCCGATGCCTCCTCTATATCGCCTGCTCCTGTACCAGGCGGAGTATTACCAAAATGCACTCCGCCTGTGAGGAATCGATAGGGAAAGTGCGCTTTGCTCATTCTGGCCAGCGCATGGTTAGCAAATTGCTCTTGCAATGGTATGGCACCCCTGATTGCCCTGCTCACCATATTTTTTGTACATGAATAAGTGTGGATTGTTGTACATTAAAAAATTAAAAAAAATAAAACCTACCCTGAAAATAAGACCTAGTTTGGTTTTATGAGCCAAAAAATATATAAGACAGTGTCTTATTTTCGGGTTAACACGGTAGCTGGAGTCCCACTTTATTGCCAGAAACTATAATCATACCTTTACCAAAAAGCTTATTCTCCTTACTGTACACTTCAAATATCTAATCATGTTTAAGACAAATTTAATCTAATTTAACTATTCTCAATTTCACTGAGCTGCCAAGGTAGAAATTACTTGTTTAGTATGCTGATCCGTTATTTTTCTATTGCTGTAACTCCAAAACATTTAAATTAATAATATTAAATCAAAAGAAAAACCTAATATTTATTGACTATTGCTTTACAGACTTTACAATTTCTAGCCACTAACAGAACTATTCCCAGCTCCCAGATCCTAACTTAAGACACATAGGGGTTGATTTACTAAAGGCAAATAAGCTGTTTCCTTTGCAAGGTACTTTTTGCTTAGTGAATAAACTAAAGCTCCCCTGACTTCCACTATCCAATCATGTGCAGGCAAAAATACTGTTTTTTAAATTTTCCTTGCACGTGATTAGATATGTGGTGAATTTTCACCACATAAAATAAGAGAAGTGAAAATGGCCTTGCAAATTGAAAGTTCTCTTGCAAAGTGGTCAGTCTATTTGCCTTTAGTAAATCAACCACTTTATTTTTCCAACTTGTTTTAAGTTTGTTGGGTCCTTTATACTTGAAGGAGTTGCAACTTCAGTCCCTAGGACTGGTGAGCCTCCTGGCCTAGAAAAAGAGGCAATAAGGCAGTGATGATATTCAGTGGTTAAAGAAATTGTTTATTTTTGTGTTTCCACCTTCTCAGTTAAGTTTAGTTCTTTAGTTAAGATTTGGATGTCTCTAGATACCAAGCTTTGTTAAATGGGGCAATGGTTTGTTGTTGGAGAAAACATGTTTTACCTGTTTAGGAATAGATGATGCCCGTGGCTGCCTCTCAAGGAAAAACCCAAATATTCTAAGGTTGCCAACCCGGTTGAGCCTGAACAGCATGTCTAAGGGAAATGTATATGTAAACTGGCAGTTATTTAGTTTTAAGGTGTTTTTTATGTGTTCAAAGGAGACATACCTTGAACATTAAAATGATTAAAATATTTAATCCCACTCTGGCTTCACCACATAGCATCTACAAAATTGTACAATGTTGGTTAAGCTATAAAGTGGTCTTAAGTAAAACTTGAGCCCTTGCAGATTATGTTGAATCTACATAATTTTATTTTATCCTTTTCTAGTGGTGAGTTATTGTTGCAGTTATGAAGTGGAGCATAAATACTGTAATAGATTTTTCAGACCTTCTTATGATCCCTGTAAAGTCACTATCAGAACATGTGTACAAATGGATCTGGGCTATGGGGATAATAATGCACCCAGCTGCTGTGTTCAATTTGTATGAAATACACACAAATTAGCTCAATGAAATCCAATTTACACTGCGCTAAAGTGAATGATCTATATAATATGTGATTCAAATCTGACAAGTTTTGTCTAGGACGTACTTTTCTCAGAAACCACTACTTTCAAAAGTGGGATATAATAAAGTGATAAATATCTGCAAGAAAATAAAATCTCAACAAAGGTATAAACCCGTGATGTACACTGGTCGCATGCGAATAAAACAACAAACTATAAAGTATAAAATAAAATAGTAAATGTCCTTAAAAAATAAAGTGAAAAGTGATGATCAAAAAGTCAATATGTCTATATGTGAAGATTATATTGTTCCGTGCGTCTCAGTGCTCTCAGTGCTCCACGTGTATTAACAGAAAAGGTCCACACTCATCAGATAGCCTTTGTAAATTCGCTTGGGGTATATTCAATTGTTCAATTGGTCTGTCTCTCAACAATCCCTGTGAGAGACATTCGGCAGCACCATCTTCTCCGGCTCTATACAGATATAAAAGCCCCACACCTACTCCAATTCAGGTCTCCTCAGAAAGGAGGTCCAGAAAGCGACCAAAAATAGCTCAAAGGGAATAAATAGGGACATTCATAGTGCAGTATATCCAATAAAAAAACTTTATTAAAAGGTTAAAAATATTCACAAGAGTCAAGAAACAAATTGCATAAAAACACTGCACCAATGTGCTCCTTCTATGTACAGACTGGGGTTTAGTGATCTCAACGTACACCCACTCGTAGAAGTGGAGAAGTCGTGGGGCTTTTATATCTGTATAGAGCCGGAGAAGGTGGTGCTGTCGAACGTCTCTCACAGGGATTGTTGAGAGGCAGACCAACAATTGAATATACCCTAAGCAACTTTACAAAGGCTATCTGGTCAGTGCGCACCTTTTCTGTTAATACACGTGGAGCACTGAGATGCACGGAACATTATAATCTTCACATATGGACTAATTGACTTTTTGATTATCACTTTTCACTTCATTTGTTAAGGACTTTTCACTATCAGAACAACTGCTGTGTTTTCAACCAAGGGATTAAGCCAGGCAGCAACATTTATTAACCTAGTCACCAAGAAGTAATTCTGAAAATTCAGTTCTGAGAGGCCTTCCATATTCCTATGGGCATGTAAACTAAGTATGTTAATAGGTGACTCCTTCCCATTTAAGAATTTTATATTCCCTCCTAGAGTTTAGTGGGAGAGATTGCTACAGTTTGGCATCCATATTTATGAATTTTTTTACCTATTGAATTGGAGTGCACAATGGGTAGACTTCAGGCTGTGTTGACCCAGTGGTCCAATGTGAACAATTGGTTGCTTTTTAAGAGAATGTTTAGTTTTTCTGGGGTGTAAAATATTTTAGACATATAAATAGTTGACTAGAACTTTCCAAATTGTCTACTTATCTGTTCATGTTGATAAAGAATTTCACTGTGGTTAATAAAATCCTGCAATGTAAACTAGGGGGTGCTAAGTCATGGCGACAAGTAGTTTGTTGTTTTTCCCTGCACATTCAAAGATAAAGGCTGCTTGATAAAACAGGTTTTTTTGCATTGAATGTATTTCTTGAAGGTTAAATTCCCTACATTTTATTATTAAGGATTGACAATTTGCTTCAGTGGGATTGTTAGTGTATTCTTCTTTATCGCCAGTATATGTCATCTTTAAATTTATAGTAACTTGGTGTTGCTGCTAGCATTAGGGGTTGATGGATTTGATAAATTACTGCCTTGTTTGTGTCTTAAAGTGATATAATAGCTTACTAGCCACACTGGCTGTCTTTCAGTTTAGCTTTCAATATTGTTGCTGATCTCCCCCAGCAATATTTTGAACCTCTTCTACTGAGGTCAACACAGTAGGGTTCATTCTCCATAGATGGTCAGTCTGGGAATGAGCCACATTTAGGGTAACTTAAAAAATAAAATGGTCAGAAATAATTTGGGCTGTATGCACAATAACTTCAATACTGGGAAAGAGGTGCCCAGCTGTAAGAGCATAACACAATCATGACAGGGCTCTACACATCTTCATTTGATTGGCAGGAGGTAACAATTTTGATTGCAGAACTTCCAGCACCATAAGGGACAATGAATTACACCAGTCCTCTAGGAAAGATGCAGGGGAACAATCTATCTAGTAAAGGCTCTATGGTAAGATTACAATCTCCAAGGAACAGGATGGAAGAAGAGGGAACAGTTTATGTTCAGTATCTTTGAATATAATTCTGTCTAGTTGTGGAGGATTGTATATTGCTACAAGAATCATAAGCTTGTGGTATACTTTGAAGTGTAGCATAACAGGCCAGCTGACTTTTGAAGGAATACGTGAGACCAGTGCTACGACAATGACATCTGCCAAAGCGTATTTTCTTCTGACAAACTGCACTATAAAGCAAGCATAGTTAAAGCTGTTTTTGTTTATGCTTATAACAAAGCCTAAAACTCTTGCAGACTAATAAATCCAAACAAGCCCAGAGCCTCAGGCAAATGAGAGTATATATCTGTCAACACCAAATCAGATTTTGAAAAAATGAGATGTTAAAATAGATCTTGTTAAAACTAATAGATCCTTATTTAAAACAAGCTGATACATTAAGCACACATTTTAATTGTTTGCAAGAATATTTTATGTTTATTTATTGATCTGTTATATTCTGCAAAGATTTTGTGATTTAATGTGAGTCTTGAAATGCCATACACTCTAAATTCATATTTACACTATTACAGTACTTAAAATCCCCTGGAATGTTGTAAATATCTAAAACTATTTACTTACAAAAAACACTCAGGCTATTGTGAAAATGTATTGCTTAAAGCATTCCAGTATGCATTATTTATAAAGTTATTAATATTGCAGAGTCTAGCAGTGAGCAACCTTTCATTTAATTTTATTGTCAGCTAAAAGAAGTTGTTAGTGGCAGAAATATTTTTATTTTACATTCCTGGGGGTTTTGTTGAGATCTTCTCACTTTTGCAGCTGCTAACTTGTTCATTTTAACTTAAAGCAATAGTTATGTGTTTATTATTTCCCTTGTCATTATAAAACTAGAGAAACCCCTTGCAAAGCCATGTTTATTTTACTAGTAGCATTTAAAAGAGTTAGTGAATAGTGTAGTATTTTTGTTGGCTTGTATTTAAGGTATTACATGATAACTTCACTGGCCACAAAACATAACTCAAGTAATTTTTGGGAAAACTCCATTTCTGTGACTATGAAATTTTGTGGTGCCAACTTGCCTGTAAGTTCCATTTGCATATGTAGCGATTTTAGCATTTGTTTTTAAGCATAGACACTCATTTTATAGCTCAGTCAGTCAATTAATCAGTCAGTCAGAGTCAGTATAAGTGAGGTGAAAATGTAGCTTCCACAATATGATTTCATAATAACAATATTTGTGTTTTTTCCTTAAACAGTTGGTGGGAGGTTATGGTTGATTGCAACAGAAAGCAGGCGGCGTATATTAAGTTGTATTTAAAGACTTAAATAATACTCAAGTTCTGTATAGCTTTAAAAAAATGGCTCCATTACTATATAGTATAGATGCTTTTGCCAGGAGTGTTCCTAGCCTTTTTGCTGCTTGAGGCCAGGTTTAGAAAAAAATTAAATAAAACAGTGGCAGCTATGGCAATGTGCATTGTGATATGAAGCTGGGCTGGAGTTTACATCAAACAGAGCATGAGCGGCTGACTACCCGAGGTATGAGCCCCTTGCTGGTCTGCTCTGCATCAGTATGCATCTATGCATTCCTACACAACTTATATCAATGATTCATGGATTTTAGAGGCATTATCTTTGCACCAGAGTAGGGATGGGCTGCGCGTTCGAGTCGAACCTATGTTCGACTCGAACATAGCATGTTCTAACGTTCGCCGAACGGCGAACATTATGGGATGTCCGCGGTCTGTTCGACCGCGGGACATCCCACAATGCACTGCGTCGTCCGAAACGGTAAACCATATCGCCCAGGGCAGTACCTGGACCCCCATACACTTTTTATGGCCAATTACTTGCATATAAGGCTTCAAAATGGGGACATTTAATTTTCTGAGTTCTACCCCCATAGACTTGCATTGAGTTCTAAGTTCGAATTAGAACTTTTTCCATGTTCGAAGGTTCGAGTTAGAACCGAACACGGGGGTGTGTTCGGCTCATCCCTACACCAGAGCACACGTTATACAATGGGCACTCCTGTGCCTCAGTAAAAGTGACTCAATAAAGCATTTCTTGTAGGACCACCTTATTGTAGGTGTACTATTAAGCTGGTGTTTTAAGAATGCTATAATTTAGTGAATAGTGCACATAACAATGTGGTTTGCTGCTTCATGTATTTCATTTTTTATCTTCTAGGCATTAGCAATGGGAATGATGACAGAATATTACCATTATATATTTACCACCCTGGTAAGTAACAAAATATGGATTGTTTACTTAGTCATTCAAGATGTTTCTCATTGCAATTTCATGGGGTTGATTTACTAAAGTCAAATAAACTGTTCTCTTTGCAAGTAAATTTACACTTTACAGTACTAAGTTACCCTTAGCTTGGTGAATGTGGTAAAAATTTAACTTTGCAAAGAATACACAATCATGTGCAAGGAACATTTGAAAAAATAAACTGTATTTTTGCTTGCACATGATTGGGTGATGGAAGTCAGCATAGCTTCTCCTCATTCACTAGGCTAAGGGGAAACGTCCACTGCAAAATGCAAATTCCCTTGCAAAGTGAACAGCCTATTTGCTATTAGTAAATCAGCCCCCATGTCTCATTTCAATCACACATACATAAATGTTCACCTACTGTATATTTTAAAACTCTGTCTGTAGTCAGACGTCCTTAAAAAGTCTTAACTGAAAGGGTTCTACTGAATGCATGTGATGGATGTATCTCCAGCAATGCACAGTAAATTAAATATGATGCTGTTTAGGCAATACCTACATTTTGTTTCTCCCAAGTCTCTACAAAAGCCATGTTGACCTTTACAATACAAATTAACTGTGGGCTCGTTTGAGCAGGACCCTGTTCTCCTCCAGTGCCATGTTTTTATAGCTGTTTCATTTGAGATTTGGCATTTGCACAACTTTGTTTTATGTTATATAGCATTGCATAGAAAGTTTGCAAAATAAAAAGGATAAAAAAATATAAAGCATTAGTGAGTGCAGTCCCTTCAGTTCTAATTCACTTTGGTCTAAATGCAGAAAATATTTTAATAATAGGACATATATGGAACGTTTTATGTTCTGTTTTTATTGGCGTTTATGCTGACAGTATATGTGGAACATTGTACTGAATAAATGTACTGTAAATGTGAACATTGCACTGAATAGTTAAATAAAATGTATAAAACAAACAGGCAACAAAGGTATCATATGGACCTAGGAAAGGAGAAAATATTTTTCATGTCATAAATTTAGGAGCACACACTGTCCACAATCTTGCCAGTCAGTGAATATATGCTATATGTATACTGAATATATAAGGTACTCTAAGGTGAAATGAGTAGTAAGCTTATAAAATATCTAACTCTGTCAACTGAGTGCATTTTTAAATGTGAACTCAAGAGGTCAGTTTAACACAGTTTAAAAGACAACTTTGTACAAAACATAAATTCAGTGATACCTATAGGAGGTGAAATACTATTTGGATGTGTTTGCTCTTTGTTTTGACTGCACACTAGACATGTAACCCCTTCAAAAAATGTGTTTTGTTTTGGATCAATTCAGTTTTTTTTATTTTTTATCTGATTGGCCAGAGAACAGTCACATGTCTGACCTAAATTTGGACGGTTCTGAATTTGTCAAAACATTCCGATTTGTTCGCATCCCAACGCGTTGAAATTCAAAAATTTTGTATACATTCAAATGTCCAGCTTTAACAAAATTTGTATGAATATCCATTCAGAACAAAACAAAATGTACATGTCTACTGCACACAAACAATGTAATGTTCATTATAGCCTGTAGAAGGGACCTGTTTTGTCTTTTATGATTCAGGCAGCTGCCCACTCATTGATCACCTTAGTCATGTAACAGGGTTAAATTAAGACTAATGTCTATCAAGTTTAGTTCAGTTCAATAATATTATAATATGTTATACATTTTATCCAAAAAGAAAAACTATACCCAGAATTGTGGCAACTGCCATTTTGTTCTCCGGAGGTGAATTCCAATATCTGCAGCTGGAAATTGTATTTTTATTATTAAAGACATTTAATCCCTATATAGGATAACTTTACAACCTCTTCTGACAAATGTTTCTTAAACTTAACTCCACTGGCCACCCTTACAATGGATTATTAATTTGCTTAACCTTTTAAGATCTGCACTAATTATTATAACCAGGGTTGAAAAATCCACTCTTCTGTGACGAGAGGACGGTGGAGCCCGACGAGCAGCATCCCGACCGGCTGTTGTAATTACACGGCCGGCCGGGAGCTTAACACAGTCAAACGATCGAACGTCTCTAGAGACGCTCGATCGCTTGTATTAGCAGCTGTCACTGCCGTTGCCGGTCCAAAAGTCCCCACCCCCCACATACACACGCAGATATGCGTTGGGTGCGCCTACGTGCGAAAACGACGATTGGACTACTGTGCCGCACATGTTACATATCGCCGCGGAGTGAGAGCAATAATTTTAGAGCCATTAATCACTGATGACATTAAACTGATGAAATGTTTAAGGTGATGCAATCATTGACATGAGCAATGTTAGGCATCGGGTAAAGTAGTTTAAAAAGGAAAAATTGAAATTTATGACAAGGCAACGAATGGTGCCATTCAAGCTCTTCTCATCCAAAGAAATTCCAATCTGTAGAATTTTTCCAAATTGGATTTGAGGCCTGGGTAAAATTATGGTACAAATGCAGTGAATGTGATGGGGACTATGTGTCAGGGGGTAACCCTGAGTAGAGGTAATTAAAGGCTAACTGTATGTATGTTCATTGTTTACATCTCTGCATAATTAGAGTGATAACAAAGTCAAAAGGTTTTTAAGGTTGCTCAGATTCTGATGAAATCACTTACAATCAATGCTGCTCCTTGATGTTTAAAAGTTTTAGTTTCCTGCACAATCAGCTGTTCACCTAAGCCTTGCCCCTTATATGCTGTTTTAGGGTGGCTCCTTTCCCTTGCAGGGTCCTATGAAGCCACCCTTGTGTGTGCTAGTAAGCTGTGTGTGTCTCCATAAACACACATTCACAGCAGGGCAAGCCACTCTACTACCCCTGCTTTCCTCTCCTTCTCGCCTACCTTCTCCAACCTAATAGATGGACAGTTGTTGCAGTCAGCTGCTTGGAAACATGATTGATGACAGTAAATGCTTGGGCAAAAAATTTAAAGAAAAACTTTGCTAGGCAATGTATATTTGTCGGCTTGGGATTCGTGATATAATGTTTTTTATATATATATATATATATATATATATATATATATATTGTGAGATTTAGCTTCCAATGGTAGCGCATTAAACGATAAATTGCATGCAGGTGTACCAGGAGGTAGTCTACTCCTCCTTATAAGGTGCAGGGATGCACTGGAGGCCCAGCAACCAAAAATGCACGCTGGGACCCCTAGTGCGTCCCCACATCCAAAATAGTCAAACTAGAAAAACATGGTACCTGCATGAATCTATAACCAGCCTTTATGGCAGGGCTGGCATTTACCATTCTCAGCCTAATTTGAAATTTCACCTAAAAAAAAAAGGGGTGCGTGTTACTGTAAGGAAAGAATACATATTTTAAATAGAAAATATATATATATATATATATATATATATGTGTGTGTGTACCTCATAATTTGATCATGTAGATTAAATATTAAACATTGCTTCTAACAAATCTAACAGACCTATTAATATTGCATTTGAAGTCACATTTAACAAAAAACATGTTCATTAATTCATTAAGGTTTTAAAAACTGTGTACATTAAGGTATCAAAGCAGCATAATGATGTTTGAGTACTTGCTTTATATCGTTATTAATTGTATTTTTTTTAAATGAACATATTTACAGCATGAGTTGTACATAAATTCACCTTTTGAACCTACATCCATTACTGAACCAAGCATTACCAAGTCATTATAAAAGAGCATGTTTGTTTACAATCATGAGCTATAAATTTGACTCTGAACAACATCAAAATTAGCTGTATGACAGTAAAGCACACAGATTTCCTACTGTTAATGCCTAACTCTGATGCATTTCAAAGGAGTTCCTTTTCTATTGATTTGATACAAAATCAGTGACATATTTACATAGAGCAGAGTAAACCTTTCCCTGCTCTGTCTTTTTTTTTTATTCTGACATCGGAGCAGCCAACTGCCGTTAGAATAATAAAAAAAATAAAAAAAACAGCATAGGAATGCATAGCTACATTCCTATTGGCTATTTCAATTTGCAATAGCCAATAGCAAACTAGCTATTGCACTCACCCACTGCTTCTGTCAATCAGCAGAGGGGACCTGAAGTTCTCCATCAGGTCCTGTTCTAGTGATTGACAGCAGCAGAGGGCGGGTGCAATAGCCAGCTTGCTATTGGATATTGCAAATTGAAATAGCCAATAGGAATGTAGCTATGCATTCCTATGCTGATTCTTTTTTTTATTCTGACGGTAGCAGAACCGCCGGGTTCTCAGTGTAATGACTGATCAGCGTCCCTGGTTTCCAGGGACGCTGTTCCATCATTAGGATGAGAGCTTAGCAGAGCTGTCATTTTTTCGATATCACCACCGACTCTGACAAGCTCTCATTGTAATGACAGCTGGTCCCGGCCAATAGAAAACAGTTGGGCAGAGCTAACTGTCACTGCTAGCTCCGCCCAAACGTTCTCTACTTTATTTTTTCTACTTTTTTAACTGCTTTTCTATTCTGCTCGGTACCACAGAGGTACCGAGCGGCATTCAGCTATTCACTCACTGCTGTTCGGCATCTATGAGAATAGGCCGAACAGCAGCGATTAGCCTGCCAGAGGTTCGGCTCAGCCGATCCAGATGTTGGATCGGCTGAGTCGAACTCCTTCTGCAGTTCGGGTTGGCCGAACATGCTGGGCATGTTCGGCCGACCCGAAGCCAGCTGCAGCAAGCCGATGTACGGCTGATTTTAGTCAGTGTACAGCTGAAATCAGCCGTACAAGCCTGAAGTGAATAGCCAAACAGCGTTCGGCTCACTTCACTTCGGGTATATATATAGACCCCTATATATTTTCTGAAAGCCAAGACCCTATAGAATAAAATGGCAGTTGCAAATTTTTAAGTTGCACGACATTGGCGCAACTTATTATCAAACCCCAACATTTTGTGTAAAATGAACTTAAGTTAAATTTACTGCCTCAAAACACAATATAAAACCATTTTTGGTAAAATATAAAATATGAGGTAACAACGAGTAAATAGATGCCCAACATGCCCAGGTTAAAATTGTGTGCGTCCGTGAAACTGTGACAGAATTCAGTACACCAAAAAGTCCATACACGCAATTTAAAAGCCCCCACAGGTCATCAGTTTAGAGATACGTATAAATAGTGGCTCTAGAGTTATTGCTCTCACTCTGGCGTGTGCGGCGATACCCAACATGTGAATCGCGATCATCGTTTTCGTACGTAGGCGCACCCGACGCGTGTTTACATGTCCAAAAGACCCTCAGTGTCACCTTTACACTTGATATAAGCTATTGAAGTGCAGATCGCACTTCAATAGCTTATTGCTGGGCTTCAGGAGCCCAACACTGACAGCTACAGGACCAGAAGTGATGCAATACGCGTCACTCCCGGTACCATAGTCTCGACAGGTCACCGGCACACACACAGATGAATTCAATATCTCTTAGATATGTTTATTGAAAAATGTCAAAAATGACATGCCGTGACATTTTTCAATAAACATATCTAAGAGATATTGAATTCATCTGTGTGTGTGCAGGTGATTTGGTGAGACTATTCTGAGCTTTGCACGGCGCCATACATGTGATCACCAGAGCACCACCACCATTGGAAGGTTGCAGACCATAAGGAGCATGGGTGGTTCTTGGAAACACTCCCGGTGCCATAGTAGGGGGAGGGGATCAACAAACAGATGTTCATTGCTCCCCCTAGCAGAGCCCAGGAAACAAGGCAGGGTGTTGGACGGGGGGGGGCGGCCCAGTTACTGGATCGTAGATACCGGATACCGGCTCTACAAAATGGTACAGACTCCCAGTGGCTAAAAGCCGCCAGGAGTCTGTGTAACCCCTTCAGACTTCATGGCGGGAATATCCCATCATAGGTCGTGAAGGGGTAAGATTCTGTCAGCAAGTTAACTTCCTGTTGCAGGCTAACATTGCCAAGTCACCGCCTCTCAATTGTCAACAACTTTGTCAGCCTGCCATATGAGATCCCTTAGTTGGTGGTTGGTGATATACTATATATCAGGTTTAACAGATAAGCAACCCAATGGAAAATTAAAGGAGTGCACATGGCAAGCTTAGAAACCTACAGCTAATTGTAAGGCAATGGCTTACCATTGTAATACTTTAACAGGGTGTGCTGTTATTTGCAATATTTCAACATAAGAAAATTTGCAACAGATTCACAAAAACAGTTTGCTTAAGAGAAATTTATACAGTGAGTCATGAGTCTTAGCATAATAAAAAAATAAATTTAGGGGTTACATACACAAGCAATTCTTTGCTTTGGTTAAGCACTGTAAATTCAAAACCTGAATGACTACCAGGCACATTCAGGTGCCTGCATATAGCTGTCAACCTCTTTTTCGGAATTCTGATATACAAATGTTACTTGCAAAGGAAATCTGATGATTGACCTTCCCCTTCCTCCTCCTACTGCACTTGGAGGAGGTCATAAGGTGCTAAAAAATTTGCGTGCTAAGGTGCTAAAAATAACTTTCAGTTATGCTGTTTTTTGACTTGTGCATATTCCACAATAGGCTGATGTTGTTTGCTAATCAGTGACACTCGAACACCTTAATTAAAAAGAGGCAAATAAATTAAATGTGCTGCAGATCCTTATTTTTGCCATTTTAGTAAATGAATACAGCTACTGTGATAGCCAGAACATTTTACTCTACAATCTGTAATTAAACTATGCTTTTTATTCATTTTGTATCTTCAGGACCTATTTGCATTAGATGTGGAGCCATATAGGTACAGTGGTGTTAATATGACTGGATTTAGAATTTTGAATATAGAAAACAGCCAAGTTTTATCTATAATTGAAAAATGGTCTATGGAAAGATTGCAGGCACCCCCAAAACCTGACTCAGGATTACTGGATGGATTTATGACGGTAAGATTTCTTAATTTTTACATTTTTTAAATGGGTGAAAGGTTTATTATTATTCTTAGCACCTTTTCATGTTCAAAGGCAAGTCAAACTATTATAAAGACCCTATAACTGCTTTGCATATCAAAATGCAATATTTTTTCTAGCATATGTTAGACTTATGTTGTTCATTTGGTTATTATTAGCAGACAAATTTACAAAGAAAAAAATACCACGTTTAGTTTATTTAATACAAAATGTGTTAAAAACTACTAATGTTGCAATTATTTTCATTAAAATGTTATCTTTTACCTAGAACACAGAAACCCCAAATGCATGTATGTTTTACACATATGGTATGGGTATATGTTTTAAAAACAATTTTACACATTTTTAGATGTGAACTCAAGTAAGCATTTGAGATATGAAGGAAATCAGCAAATCAATAATGCAATTAATCAGTAGAATCAGTAGAAATATTTAAGAAATCAATTAGCCTATAAAGCTAACCCCATTTGATATAATTACAGCCTAATCAATTATAATGTAGTATTCTTTATTAAATAAACTACATAATATAATTGATAAACCTAAACCACCTTACCTAACAAAATCAGGCATTGGGTTTATTTAACTTAAATTGGTAGCAAACTGCTGTGCAAAGGGTGGGTTTTTGCAATGTGGTGCAAGTATGCACATCATCCTTTCACACTTTGGCAAACGTACCTTACCTTGTCTGTAGTAATATTTTTAAAAAATATGGTTTTCAGCACCATCTCCAGTGTGCTGACACTAAAATGACAGTCCAGGTAATCATTGCATGTATTTTGCACAGCATGGATTCTTCTCCAGAGCTTGCCACAGAAACGTACTTGTTGGGGGGAAGTTTATCTTTAATTGGTGGACACCCTTACCATGGAGAAAATAGCAAATTCTATGAGACTCATTTTGGTGAGGCATTGCCTTCTATTGCCACCTCATGAAGTCATCTCTGCTCCTCCCATAAACCCAGGTACACACAGATGTATGTTAGTTCACAGGAAGCCTCCATAGTGAAACCCTAAATTTGCCAAAAATAATGATGCCCATGGATGAAATAGTTTTCAAATAATATTAACTCCAAAATCTTTCAAATCAAATTAAATTATACATCTATCTGGAAGCAAGCTTAATTAGAAAAAATATCCATGTGCTGTTAAACCAAGGTTGTAGGGGACTGAAGCATCTAATAATTCAATGTCAATGCTCACCCACAATAATTTTTCATCTAACCAACCATAATCTAACTGCCGTAAGATGTCCCTTATGTCATTTACAAAGACAGTTGAGAGACAAATGGATTAGCTTACAATTAACATATTTCCCTACATTTTCAATAGATCCATCAGTCCCTAAAATTATGGGGAATTAAAAAGGGGAGGGACATACAGATTTTTTTGCTTTATGGAATATATAGAGTGGGAGATATTGTAATCACATGTAATCTTACTCATTTGTAAGTAACACCATATCCAAACCGTGTACTACCACCAGGAAGAGAGTTTTATTATTAATGTATTTCATTATAACTAGTTTAAATAATAATATATTTTCTTCTGAAACATAGTGCATTTTGTAACAATGGATAAATTGCACCCAAATTCCACTGTATTCTCTTTCACCTCAAAAAAACATTTCAATGTTTCCATGAGGTCATAATCTTAGGTTTAGCCCTTAAATTATTTTGGGGTATAAAGGTTCCAACCTTTTCCAAATGTCAAATGTATCTAAATGATCTTGTAACTAAGCTTCACAATCTGTTTAATCTTCTACCAGTTTGGAAGAAAAATAATAAAGTTATTCTCACTCTTCACTCTTCCCTTCAGCAGGTGTTAAATCACTCTTCCTTTTGTTGCAGCCCCTTTCCTCTGTGTTTCTGGTTCTTTTTATTAGTGACCTCTTTCTCTTCTCTGTGCACTTTAATCATCTAATTATGTGCAAGAAAAACATTTAGCTTTTTAATTTTACTTGCACATGATCAGGTATCAGTGAACAGTGTGCACTACTTCAACCTATTTCATCTTCAATCTAAGATAAATTAATATTCTTTTTTCCAGCATAAACAAGCATCTACTTATTCATTTATTCATATCTCTTGCAAAATATTTTTTTTTTTTTTTGCATTTTACTAATTTCTGTATGTAGGTAATAAATAAAATAATGCTTGGTGCCCAGCATAAAATCTGACTTATGAAGTAGAGAATCTTGATAAAAGCAAACCCTAGGAAATACCTAGGAAATGGTTGCACACACATGAGCAGCATTTGTTCTTGTTCTGGATACTTTGTAAGATGAAATGAATTAGGGCTAGTGTAAACAGACTTTTGTGCTTTGCACTTTTTTAAATCAGAATTGGATTAGTTCAAGGCACACGTTCAATCCCCTGATCAAGATGGCTCTGAACCACTTGGACAATGAGCAATCCTAACCTAAAATCAGCATTTTTTCTCTCACCCTCTGACACCCTACTTATTACAAGACCTGTGCAGCAGAGAGGTAAGATTCCACGATCAAGGGGCACAGAGAGATGGGGAGGATGCCATCACAGAGACCAAGCGCCTCCAAGATGGTGGGTTCATAGTGTATTGAAGATGCGCCGGCACCTGCGCCTCCACAGCTGCTTCTGGAGGTAAATGACACCTCTTCTCTATATAGTGTACCACACTCACCTGAAGATAATACAGAGACAGAAAGAGATATAGCCTTGCTGGCAAAAATTCAAGTTAAAGTATACTTCAGGTTAAGATGACCACTAATTTAACAAGAGAGATGAAGGATAGGCACCCACATTGACATGCTGGAGACAAACTGGAAAATGGACAGTGTTATTGTGATTTTTGATTCACAGTGCTGGACACAGTGGTGTTGGTTTCCAAAAGGCAAAAATACTTCATTTTACCAGGGAATCTTCACTTTGCAAGGGAATTTATCATTAGCTAAGTGAATGTGGTAAAAATTAACTTTGACAAAAATATCCAGACAAGTGCCAAACTCTTTTTTTTTACGTCAGCAGAACCGCCAGCCAATAGAAAACAGTTGTGCGGAGCTAGCTGTCACTGCTAGCTCCGCACACTAGTATTTTTCTATTCTGCTCAGTCACTGCGGTTCGGCATCTATAAAAATAGACCGAACAGCAGCACGTAGCCTGCCGGAGGTTCGCTTAGCCGATCCAGATGTTGGATCGGCTGAGTCAAACTCCTTCTGCACTTCGGGTCGGCCGAAGTGCAGAAGGAGTTAAATGTACGGCTGATTTCAGCTGATATACGGCTGATGTACGGCTGATTTCAGCGTTCGGCTTACTTCGTTAGTCACTCGGCTGCCTACGGCAGCTTAGTGAATAGACCCCCACAATATTTTAAAAACATAAGAACACTACAAAACTAAAATCACAGCACAATAAATGCAAATATACATTAAGTGTTTTAAAATGAGGTAAGTGCAAATGTTTTTTTATCACTAACAGTGATATACACAACAGATTTAAAGAAATTCTGTAAACATCATACATGATAGACTGCAACAGTACTCTTGCTGGACCACATCCTAATTCCAGAGCAGGCATGTTGATTACAGCAATGCTAAACAGATGCTTCACTGCCTAGTAACTAGTAACCAACCTGCCAGTAGAGAATGTACATTTCCATCAGAGGCTTCTCAGTCAGGTAAGTATTGTTCCCTTAGAGTAACAATATATCAGACAATATCTGTCAAAATATGCACATATATGCTGATTATACAATGGTAAATACAGTGCAAGAAAAACTATGAAAATCCAAAATTGTAAAATGGATTGTACTTTTCTGTTTCACATGGAAAGCATTTATATTATACAACTTTGTGTTACTACATTCTGTTAAATGAAACAGTGATAATTCTGGGCAGCCTGAAAATATGCACATGCCAACACTTCTTATGTTATTTTCACTGCTAGAAAAATATAGGACACTCAGCAAAGATCTTAGCTTTTGAGACAAATACCTATTATATACAGTACACACTCATTTGTCATTATATAGCTCCACAGTGCTTACACATTACGCCTTTACTTTAGCTGAAGAAATAAATAGAAAAAGGAATTGGATTCATGGATGGGCTCACAAGGATCAGTTAACTCATTTAATTGGTCCCTAAAGCAGCAGTCAGAGTTTAAGCATCAAGCCAACATTGAACTATTGCTCTGATTTTAAAAATGTGTATGTGCAGGTTGATGATACAAACGAGTGACTGAGATAATTGGTATAATTTCAAATGGCGTTGTCAACAATTCCCCCCCCCCTTGTAATTGCATTTAACACTAGATCTTTGTGTTGTTTACCTATCAACAAGAAATTACATGAAATGAATGCTTCTTTTTGTAATTATATGGAACATTTTTTCAGACATACAAATTATCTTCAATAGTTGCCATCCACAGATAAGATAGTCATGATCCCAAAAAATACTTTGCTTACCCACTATACTGTAAGAAATATATGTTTTCATTTTATATATTGAATTAAAATGAATGTATAACTATTTTGTACACTTTCTTTTATATTTATTACGGTAAGAACTTAAAAAATAAAAATAAACCATTCTTTTGTATAAATATTAAATATTACATATAAAGATTATCCAGCCAGAAAATAGGATTGTAGTCTCCTTTTGATATATGCAGCTATTTACAGTAACTTTCACAGCCTCGATTAGGGATCAATGAATCTGGGCAGGATCAGTATGAGCTGGATTTTCTCAAGGCTAATAAGCAACCTATTGTTGGAAAAGGTCATTGGTAGCTCGACACTGTCATGGGAGATGCCTTAAATTTACAAGTGGTGTTACAGAACAGTATGATGTAGTCCTTTTAAAGTGACAGTATGAAAACGGAACAAAATGGGGTTCCCCTTAAAACTCAAACCAGGCCCTTATCCAGGAATGCAGCTTGGGTGGCCAGAAAAGTTAGGACAGCAAGTGTGTCTCCTTCTTCAAAAGCCATACCAGGCACA